ATATTTTATTTTTTACTTGTTCAATTCTCCATGGAACTGATGGAACATTGAGAAATCCTGCTCCCAGGAATTCTTGGCCCCATCAGCCCTATAAGCTGTTCAGATCCACCCCCTACCTTTCTTTCCACCATCCAATGACCTCATTATTCTAGGCCAGGGGCTGGCAACGTTTTTGTGTCATGAGCCAGGTAGTAAATATTTTAGCCTTTCAGAGCCATGGAAGGTCTGTTTCATATTCTTCTTTGTGTGAATTTTTTTAAAAGACAACCCTTTGAAAATGTAAAAACCATTCTTAACTCTCAGGCAGAATTTGGCTCAGCAGCTATAGTTTACTCCCTGTTCTAGGTTCTCTTGGGAACAAATATTTATCAAACTTCAATGGGCACAAGGATATTCTGGGCAAGCTTGTTGACACCACAGACCCCCGTGTTCCTCAGATATTATGATTTATTGGCATTGGGTTAGAGTGTAGGAGCTATATGGTTGGTTTCACAGACAGTCTAAGTGACTATTCTAAGCAAATCGTCCATGGTCCACTTCTTGAGAAAATCTGTTAGAGGTGCAAGGGCACTTTGAGCTCATTCAGTGATCAGTCCCATCAACTGAGGGAATTGAGGTCCAGGGTAGGGCAGGGAAGGGAAGGGACCTGGTCTGAGAGTTTCTGGGTTAGGGCCACAAGGAGAGTGAGCTGTACGAGAAAGGTGGTGCTGAAGAGCACCATGAAGGCAGAGCATGAAGCTGGAGAGAAACTCAAACTTGGGTGATTTAATTTAGTTGCTGGGAACAAACCTCCCTGTAGGTGGCCATACTGTGGTGCTTGCAACAAAATCCCCTTTATTGCTTAAGCCACTTTGACTCAGATTCTCTGTTGCTGGCAGTTGAAAGTACCCTAAAGGATACAGACCCCTCTTTCCACCAGTCTTCTTTGATCCACCTCTTTTTGAGAGAACCGTCTTTGAAGGAATACTCCCAAGGCATCATCCAAATGTTTAATCCTCGAAATGTCAAGGCCTTTGTAATAGGCTGGGTAGGTCACACATCCCTCACTGCACCTGAAGGCAGAGTGCGCAGAGTTGAATTGAAAGTGAGCCAGGTCTGGAATTGGGAGATCTGGCTTGTAATCTTGCTTCTATCATCATGTAACTGTTTGAAATGGGCAAATTACTGAATTCTCTGGGCCCAGCTTTCTCATCTGGAAAATGACAGGGGTGGAAAAAATCACTTTTTAGGCCCCTTTTGTTCTAAATATTACCATTGCCTTCTAATTGTCAACACTGCTCCCTCTCCCTGATGTTTCTAAACTCACCCTTTCCCTCTCCCTCTTCCTTCCCGTACATTCTCTTTGTATTCTTTCTTTTCCTCCCTCCCTTCCTCTCTCTCTCCCCCTTCCCTCCTTCCTTTCTTCCTCACCTCCTCCCTCCCTTCCCTTCCCTCTTTCTCCATTCCTTCCTCCCTCCCTTCCTTCTTTTCTTTCCTTCCCTCCTTCCTTTATTTCCTTCCATCTCTTTTTCTTTCTCCGTACCCCTCCATCTCTCTCTCTCCTTTTCTCTTCCCCTCTTTTTCTTTCTTTCCAGAGAAGAAACACACACAAAAAACAAGAGCATTGACTTTGGCCCGTTCTCTTCTTTCCTGGCAGAGGTTATATCCCCAAGGAGCTCATATATATTTGCATTTGAATCAACAGCCCTCAAAGGTTTCTCTAGGGAACTTTGAACATTTCCTTCCCAGTTTGAAGAATGGAGCTAATTGACACAACATGAATTTCGATCAGTTGGCAACACATTTTTTTTTTCCATTTGGTAAAAAATAATTCGACCAGTCCATTGAACAGCACCAAGAAGATGCACTCACTGCTCAATGCGGTAGTGCTGGTGGAGTGAGCTACTACTGTGCTCTATACCTTGGGAGAGCAGCCATCCCCTATTGGCAGGTTTTTCTCTTCTCTGAGGGAGGACATTACCTAATTCCACCTTCAGCACGTTGTGACAGGAGCCCGAGAGGCCTAGGCGGTTGGAGCTCACACTCACGTGAAATCATTCTTGTTTGAGTTTTAATAACGCTTATTCCTTTTTCTTTTAAATCCTCAAGCATTACACATTCAAAGCAGAAAACAAAGTAAAACAGAAAACACACAAAGGAAAGAAGCAGCAACACAAATCACCAGTAATCCCACAACCCAGAGATGACCACATGTGGTTTTTTACCGGTTTTGTTTCGACAATTGCTTTTCTAATCACCAAAGCAATATATGCTCAATGCTCAAGCAAACACTATAAAGGAAAATAAATCACTGCTAATCCCACAGCCAATGACAGTCGCATGGAGTCCCTGAATGCCCCACCCTGCCCAGCCTCCCAGCCCTCCCAGCTGGGCCCTGAACCAGGATTTCATGTTCTGTTAACTGTGGGCATTGGGCCTGGCAGAAAGGCAGAGCATATTTGGTTCAGTGTTTTGGAACGATGCCTCCCTGAGGACTGGACCCAAGGAAGGGTCCATGCACAGGAAAACCAGCCACCAGGGCTCCCCTCCTCTCATCAGAATTTAAAGTGTCTGGAACTTTCCCACAAGGGCTTTTTCAAACTGATTGGAATGTGGGCTGTACTTACAGGTGGCAGTATGGCCTAAAACATTGTTTTTTTGTTTTTTGTTTTATTTACAGAGTTAACTTCTGATGTCATAGTATAATTCACCCTCTTTCTCCTCAAACCAGTTCCCTTTTTCTTTCTTTGTTACTTCTGCCAGAAATAAAGCATCACAGTCTGTAACACCCAAGCTCCACTTTCTGTGGCCCTATCTTTTCTGCCTAGAGGAAGTCCTAACTAGTTTCCTACCAGGTATGTGATAAAGAGTAGTGGGATGAATACTCCACTGGCTCCAGAATCAGTAGGATTTGGATTTGAATTCTGTTCCTGCCACTTACTAACATGTGAGCTTGGATGAATTAATTAACCTTCTTGAACCTTGGTTTCAGGCTCTGTAAAAGGTTACAGCAGCCGTACGCACTGTGTGCGTAACACCCTTCTTACTGTTTTGCATATATCAACTCACTTAATCCTCACGACTACCTTACAGGTATCATGATTCTCATTTTACTAGATAAACAAATTGGCCCAGAAAGGGCAAGCCACTCACCTCAGATCACGCAGACAAGTGGCCAAGTCAGAGTTCAGACTCAGATAGTCTGTTCCCAACTATTTCTCTGCTTAGCCCTCCAGTTTACTCCAAAAGGTATGAGAGTTGAGTGAGAATGTATGTATAGTGCCTAAAGCCTGACCATTCCACATGCTTCTCTTCTCTTTAAAAAATTCTTAGAAAATTTTCCTTTCTAAATGTTTTTATCCTGTCCTTCCCCCTTTGTTTTTTTTTTTTTTTTTGATTAAAGTTGCAAAAATTGGAATTTTAGGCATGCAGATGGCCTATAAATTTTTAATGGCCAGGTCATAAAAATACAATTGTATACTGTGCCTTTACTGTGTGCCAAGCTAGGTAGTTATTTATTTATTTATTTATTTATTTATTTATTTATTTATTGTGTGCTAAATATTTTAAATAAATAATCTTAATGAGTCTTTGTCGTAGCCCTGTGAGGCACGCACCATAGTATCCTCATCCTATAGATAACGTGATTCTGCTTGTGTGGTTAGGTAACCTGGCTGAAGTCACGCAGGTAAGGGACAGAGCCAAGATTCAAACTGAGGCTGCTTCAGATCCTGAAGTCTTCATCAGTTTTTGCTAAAAGAACATCATTCTTTGTGGTGATAAAGCTTTCCTTGAGATGGGGTGTGGGGTTGGGCAGAAATAGGCGGGATTCTCTCTGAAGGAATGTGAAATGGTCCTCCCAAGAGGGATCCTGATAGATATTGCTCTGGCATCTGGGAGAGGGGGCATCCCTGCAGAGCCCCAGTCAGGGAGACATCTGATGGAGCTGGAAGCATTTGGAGGGACTTGACAGTGTAGACCCCCCAGCCTTCTCCCTGTATCAACTAAGAGACGTCCTGACAGACAAAGGGGAGAAGACTTTCAGACATTTTCTTGGCACAGGGATCAGCATGTGGGGGTGTAGGGCAGAGGCAGTGAGCTTAGGAAATGAAGGTGGAATCACAGTAAATCTTGACTGGACTGTGGCTTGGGCTGCAAGGCTTTTCTTCTTTCCTTTATTTACTTCCTTCCTTTTTTCTTTTCTTTTCAAGTCTTTTATTAATAGTATTTCCTTTGCCTGGTGTGAGAAATAAGGGGAAAAGAATGAACTTTATACAGTGCCTACAATGTGCCAGCTGCTTTCTGCAGACATTTATCTCTTTTCAGCCTTATAATGATTTTTCAAGATAGATAGCACTAGCCCCACTTTGCAGATGGGAAAACCAAGTCTCACGAACTGTAGGTGACTTGTTTAGGATCATGGAGAAATAAAATAGTGGAGGTGGAATTTGGAATCAGTCCCTTGTGACCCCAAAGCCTGCTGTCTCTCTCTGGGGCCCAGGAATGAAATTACATGGGCAGGACTGGAGACCAATGAACATGCACCAAATACTATCCAGGTACCTGTAGTTGCAGTAGAGCAAGCCCTTGGTGACCAGTGCAGTCAAAATGCACAGTCTGGGGTCCGGACTTGTCCTCCCAGGGGGCAAGAAATAGAATTCTTTCCATGTCCACACTGTTTGCTCAAGTGGTTTTCTTCTAGAAACGACTGCTTGTTTGTTTGTTTTAAATTTTAATTGTGAGGGTCACCTGGGTGGCTCATTCAGTTGAGCATCTGACTTCGGCTCAGGCCATGATCTCATGGTCCATGAGGTCAAGCCCTTCATTGGGCTCTGTGCTGACAGTTCAGAGCCTGGAGCCTGCTTTGGATTCTGTGTCTCCTTTTCTGCCCCTCTCCCATTCACGCTCTGTCTCTCTCTGTGTCTCAAAAATGAAAACATGTTAAAAATTTTTAAATAAATAAATAAATTTTAATTGTGACAGAGTAAGGGAAATAAAAGCTCGAAATGAATGTTAGAAAGTGTTTTCAAGGAGTGAAGTACAGTTAGTGCGACGTGGTGAACTTGGTAGTGTGTGACCTCACAGGAAGGCGTTCTTACTGGAAGTTTCTTCAGTTCAAATTCTGCTGGCTTCTGGATGGTTCCTCTGGGATCGGCACCTCAGCGGCTCTCCTGATGAAGTCATGCCAGATACCTTTCCTCTGACTGGGAGGAACCCCATCTTGGCTCCTGTCTACAGGCAGCTGGGGCAGTACAGCCCAGGGGATTAGTGGGATTTGTGCCCAAGCGAGAGAGATCTGCCCCTGCCTGCAGGTCAGTGACTTCTGAATGACCTACTGCCCCTAGAGGAACGGCACTGGGCCTCTGCACTGTCCCTTCCTTCTTTCTGCAGAAGCCAGCTCTCTCTCAGTCCTGGGCCGCTGCCTAGAGTTTCTTTGCTCCCTTAGTTTGCGGGGAGAAGGAAGGCGGCAGCTTGCAAGTTATTCTGGGGAGAAGAGACGCTGGGCCACACAGCCCTTCCGCCATAGGCAACCGCAGGTGGAATTTTCCCCGACGTCTGCGCTGTTCTCAAGTTTCCCAACCTGTTCACCCACACTTGGCACTCAGAGAAAATCCTCAGAGCTGCCAGGCCACCAGTTTAGCCTTGAGGCTGTGACCAAATATATAAGAGGGACCCCTCCCCCGACTGGATCCGTTTATTTTCAAAAAAAGGGCTTTCCGCAGATGTCCCCATGGAGCCAACAGGAAGGACTGTGGGCAGCGGACTGCTGCAGCCACACACGGGCAGCTGCGGGACCCTCTCCCTGACCCATTTAAGTCATGCCGTGATTGATGATTGCAATGGGAAAGTAGCAACTGCAGATGGACAGGCAGCGGGACAAGCAAAAAAACAATAGCGCCTGTTCCTGGCACCTGTCCCTGCCTGAGGTGGAGGAGGCGCTGTTAACTAGTCTGGTGATGAAAAACATGGGTTTTGGAGGCAGACGGGCTGAGTTCAGATCCCACCGACGTCCCTTCCAGACTGGGTGAGTTTGGATGAATTTGTATCACTGTTCTGAGTTTCAGCTCCCTGGAAGGGGGGTCAGGGAGTAATACCTGTCTCTTAGGGTTGTTCTGAGGATTAAATGAGATAGGACAGGGGAGAGTACTCACAGCAGAGCCTGGAAAATAGCTGTGATGGTTTTGTGATTACATAAAGTACTCAGTCCAGTAACTGGCACCAAGGAAACGCTTAATAAATGGGAGCTGTTTCTTGGGATACTGGAATGCCAGCATTGGGAGGGACCTTGTCTGAAGCCAAATTAATTTTATCTGCTCCTTTTGTAGGCAAGGGTCCTGAAGACCAGAGAGGGACAGTGGTGGATCCAGGATCACACTCCTGGCTCAGGGCGGAAAGAGGGCTGACGGCATCATGCTTCCTGCCTTTTCTCTCTTCGAAGAATACCTAAGCTCCTGCGTTGCTCCTCAAACTCAGTTTGGGGCTTTACAAGTTAGAGTTGCTGGGGCAAATTATGTTCTGCAGTGTTGCTCTGAGAGAGTCCAGTTTTGTTTGGTTTGGGAATCAGTGCCCTGGTGGGAACACAGAAAACACTAGACTTGGCAGCTGCAGAAATGGGTTCACATCTCACCTGCAACGTGTCAAGTCTTTGGTCGTGGGCCAGCCACTGAAGTCTCTGAGACTCAGAACCCACAGCCCTTACCAAGAGATCTGTCTGCCTATTTTTGGATGCACAGCTGGGTGAGAGGCCTCCTGGGTCCCTTGACATATGGTACTGGTTCCTACAACTCACTCTGAGACATCTTCATGGATGGATGTTTAATTCATTGTTAAAAGGGGAGAGAATGCAGGAATGTCTCATGCTGCCATAATGCTGACATCACTCCCCCTGAGACTCCGTTTCTCCTCCTGTAAAATGGTGATATAAACTGTGCCTACCTCAAAATACGTTGGTAAAGATGAAATGAGTTAATATGAAGAGCTCAGAACAGTGCCAGGCACATAATCTTTAATAAATGTCACTGTTATTAGAATTAAAGGTCAGGTTACAGGGATTAGGTACTTAGAAACTCTTTCTCTACACCCGGCCAATTTTGTGCCTCAGTGGCTAGGTTGGTGGCCTTTGTCACGAGATAAGGGGGTGACAGAGCTGCTGCCGGGTAGAGTGGTGGGAGTTACCCAGGATTCATGGGAACAAGAGGGCATTGATTTGCAATGCTGGCGTGAATTTGGAGTAGGGATCTGGACGCCTGGACCTTCTCCGTGGCTGGTGGCCATGAGAGACACATATTGCATCATTCTTGCTATTTTTTTGTGTGTGACTGGAGCAGAGCAGAGGCTTTTCTTGGTTCCAATGGGAGCCCCGGCAAGTCCAAGTGGAGAAGCAGGGCAGCTGTCGGGAGAATTCAGGCGGGAGCGGGCTCAGCGCCCAGGCCAGCAGCCTGTGACAGGCAGAAATGCAGTGAGACGTGACATCTGCCGCCTGACCACATCCCCACGCCGCCCTCCCTCATCCAGCTGCTCAAGAGAAGGAAGGAAACCAGGCTTTTCCCACTGCTATTGTGTACCTGACAGGTTCATCAATCTTATTCGGCTCATCCTCATGGCCTCTCAAGCCGGTGATTATATCTCTTCTCTGGCAGAGGAAGAGGAAGAGGAGATTCAGAAGTGTCCCAGGGCAGAGGGAGGGGCAGAGCCAGTGTTCAAGCCTCGGGCCTCCACTCCAAAGTCCACGTGCCTTCCATGGCACCAGCTAGTTCTCGCTGGTCCGGCCACCTATCACCCGGAGAGACTGGCTTATCTTTAATCAATACGTGCATGGCCAGAGGAGACAAATAAGTGCAGAGGCACCTGGCTCCTGGCGCTAATGGCCTAAAGAAAAGAGAAGCTTGAGCCCAAGTCCCCTTCCTGGTTGAGTACTGACCCTGTTTTACCTTCCTGCCCCCTGAGCCCTAGGCAGACCTTTGGCCTGGAGGGGGCACCCTGTCCCGGGGCCAGCCCAACAGGCCTGGCCCCAAAGACAATAGCTGGAAGGGCCTCTTAGAGCAAGTACTTCCTGAAGTGCCCAGAACAGTCACTGTCCCCACAGCTCAGGAACAATCACAGCTCAGTCAGCTTCCTGGCTCTTTGCAGGGCCTCCAGCCCTCCAGGCAGAGCCCTTAGGTCTACTGTTTGGGGAGGGACAAGAGGACAGCAAGAGCAGTGCTCCAGAGTCTAGGACAGACCTCGGGATATAGACATTTTTTCTACATTGAAGCCGGAGGAAAAATTCCAGGTTCTCTCTTTTCTTTACTATTCTGGTAAACCAACTGCCTGATCCTTGATCTTTGTGCTTCTGTCATGTCTTTTTGGGATTTTTAAACAGGGAGAAAAGTGGGGGGTGGGGGAGAAGCCAAAGGAAAAAATAAATTCTGGAATGAAACTATACACTCAGTTATTCACTCAACAGCATGGAATGAGACGTGGTAGTTGCCAAGCACAACGGGGTCCAGAAAAGAATTATTCAGCATTCACTCACTGACTTATGTGTTTATCTGCTCATTTCATAGTAAGGATAGAGCTCCTGCCAAGTTCCAAGCATTGTGGCTGTAGCAAGGACTCGGCAATGCAGGCCCCGCCCAGTGTGGGAGACAGACAGGTGAACCAGCAGTTGACATACTTGGTTTACGTGGTGAGTGCTGGGAGGGACAAGTGAGGACCATCAGGGACAAGAGCAGCAAGGCCAGCAGACCCTGACCAAGAGTCCTGGAGGATGGACAGGACAGACCAAGGGAAGATGAAGTTAGGCTGTGCGGTAGGAGAGAGTATAGGAAGATACTGGCATCTGTGAAGGCTGGAGGTGGAAGAATGCATGTTTTCCAAGAAGCGTCAAGAAGGCCCACGTGGTGGGAGAGCAGGAGAAATAGTAGCATCTAGTGGTCACAGCTGGCATACCCCAGCCTGCCTGGGTTGGAATCCTTGCTGGGCCACTTATGACTATGGGTCATCTGCCAAGCTCTTCACCTTTCTGTAACTCACTTTTCTTGTCTACGAAATGGAGAGGATGCAGAGAATAGTATCTGCTTCAAAGGTTGTGATAACAATGAAAGTGAGCTAGTACACATCGAGTGTACCTGGCATGCCGAGTTATAGAGGTGTCAGCTATGATCAGGTGGGGGACGGGCAGGGAGGTGGGAGAAGTGAGCAGTTCCACACACCTATAATGGGCTCCGATCATGGGCCAGGCACTAGTAAACCAAGCAAAATCAGAAAGGCTCAGCTCCTGCCTGCAGGGAACTTGCAGTATTTCCTGCTGTTAAAAACTTGGATTTGGAATTAGAGAGACCCAGATTCTAATCTCATCTCATCTCGTCTCGTCACATCTCATCTGTGTGACCTTGGGCAAATTATTTGCTCTTTTCAAGCCTCACTTTTCTTATCTGTAAAAAGGGTATAATGATAGTCCATTTCTTATAGGGTCAACTTATAGGATTAACTGAGATAATATATGTCAACATAAATAACATAGAAAATACAAGGTTAGAAAAATAATAGCTATTAACACAGTTGGTATAAAATAAAAGAGGAATAATACAAGGAGGAATATCTTATAATAGCCAGGATGGTGAGCCCTTGGATATGGTGGCAACAACCTCTCAGTGGCTTCCCATTATTCTAGAATAAAGATGTGTTTAATTCACGGGCTTCATCTCCTGTCTTCATCTTTCCTGCTCTCTCTTCACTTCCTCTATCCTATTTCTGTGTACTCTGCCTGGAGATTCCACTGCCAAACCTTCAGGTCACAGGTGAAAGAAACATCATTTACTAGGGAAGCCTTCCCTGACGCAGATGTGGTCAGGCACACGTTCCCCTGCTATGCAGCCTGACACCACTGTTCATTTTGATTAGTACCTGTTGCCTCATCTAGAGTATAAGATCCATGAAGCCAGAGATCATATCTGTTTTACTCATTATTGTGTCTCTGGCCCTTAGTATGGCTTTCCTAATAAGAAACCAATAAATATGTACTAAATGAAGAAACAAGAATGCAGCACAAGATTAAACTCTTAAAAAGGGGAGAAGCAGAAGATAAATAAAACAATACCAAAAGTTAAAGAGTTAAGAAAATTAAAAACCAAAAGGGAGAAGCTGGAACCTGTTTCCTAAAGCTCAACCACCACTCACACAGAGCACGATTTTCCAAAGCGCCTCTGCATTCTCTAAGTCAAAACAGCAGACCCTGACACCCCATTCCTTTGCCTGGACAGCAGTGCAATCGACACATCACACTGTAATGAACCCGAGGGCTGATTAAGAGCTTATGTAAATGTTGAAACCTTTGGCAGCATTCACTTCCCTTAGATTTTGCCGTGACTCAAAGCACGGGAATTTTTCAAAAGAGAGAGCTTTCAGAGAATATCCACACCCAACGGTGGAAACTTTAGAAGAATGGAGTGTGGGGGAATGTCCCTCGGTGAGGGATTAGGGGGCTCTGAACAGGTTTTAAAGGCATATGGAGACAAGATGTCAGTGTGAGCTTGTTTCTCTGACAGAATCTGAAACGCTTTTGACCAGCCAGTTTCCAAGAGGCTTTTAAGTGAAGAGGTTAACGTTGTAGGTTTATAAATACATGGATGTTTGTGGTGACTTCATTGTGCTCGGTATGACAGCGCAAACTGCGGGGAGAGGTTGCCCTTGCGTGAACAGTTTACTTAATCTCTCTCTTCTTCTGCCTCTTGGTTCAGCGAGCAGGAGGAGCCCTGGATGAGGAAATGGGGGACCTTTCTTTTTGATCACAGCCTTGCCCCCATGAGCTATGTGACAGTGGGCATGATAATAACTGTTCCCCGCCTCAGTTCCTTCATTTTTCCAATGACATTGAATAAAACCTCATCAAAGTGTTGTAAAATTGACTTTTAGTAACAGTCCCTAGAGCTTATGGAGCATTTCCTATGTGTCAGCGCTTGTCTGAGTTCTGCTGGTCTTCACAGCAGCCTGGGGGGTAGATCACTACTATCGCCACTGTTTTGTTTTTATTTTTATTTATTTAAAACATTTTTCCCTAATATTTATTTTTGAGAGAGAGAGAGAGAAAGACAGAGCATGAGCAGGAAGGAGACACAGAATCCAAAGCAGGCTCCAGGCTCCGAGCTGTCAGCACAGAGCCCGACGTGGGGCTTGAACCCACAAACCGTGAGATCATGACCCGAGCTGAAGTCGGACGCCCAACCGACTGAGCCACCCAGGAGCCCCATTGATTTATTTATTTTAAATGCTTATTTATTTTTGAAAGAGCACAAGCAGGGAAGGGGCATAGAGGAAGAAGGAGAGAGGGGGTCTGAAATGGGCTCTGTGCTGACAGCAGAGAGCCCAACCCGGGGCTTGAACTCATGAGGCGAGAGATCATGACCTGAGCCAAAGTCTGACTTGGGAGCCACCCAAGTGTCCGTTATTGCTACTATTTTAGATGAGGACACTGAAGTACAGAAAAGCTAAACACCTTGCTCAGAGTCACATGACTGGTAAGCAGTGGAGCCGGGATTTGAACTCTGGGCTGCCTGGCTCTGGAATCCATTTTAGTCACTGTGCTCTATTACACTTTCTTTCCAGGTAGGGAGTGCATGGGTTGGGGAGGGCTTGGAGAAGAAAAAAAGCCCCATTGCTTGCTGGCTGGCCAGGATTTCAGCGGTCTTCAGCGGTCTTCAGTGGGAAGAAGGGGGAAGTGGCTGCCACAGGGAGACAAGAGGTCTGTGTGGTAACTGTGCTCTCTGGAAGGTGAAGCTTTCATGTTTATGGCTAGGTTGCAGGGAATGGGAGTGCTGAGGCCCCGGACTTGGAGACAGATATGGATTTGAATCCAGACTCAGCCTCTAGATGTGTGACTTTCAGACTAAATAATACTAATCTAATCTGAGTTTCATAGCTCACCTGAGAAATAGCACTGTCAGGGTTACAGAGTGTTGTATGGATTACGTCAGAAAATGTCTGGCACATGGTGGGTGTGCAATGACTTTCTTGCCTCCCCTCTTTATCATGGTCCCAAGAAGATGAATTTACTTAACCAATAATTTAATCAACTTTAATCAACTCAAGCAATTATTAAATTTATTAGTTCAATCACATCCTGAAACTGGTTTGGGATTTTTGTGTTCTGGGTTCTTCAGATGAGCTACATTTTATGTTGAAACTCTTTCAGGTCAGGGTAATTGGTAGTTTTCAGATTCACTTCCACATTCGTATTTGTCTATCAGAGAGCAATTTCCTTGCCCTTTGATCTGAGGCAGATAACCATTTTTTATGAGGCTGTTAGCCTTGTTGAAGGTAGAGACACAGCCCCATTCCAGCCATGAGTTATAAATGGACATCAGTGTGAGACCATTGCATTCTGTGTACCTAGATTCTGTGTATCTGGGCACCATTTCTATGCCAGCTTCCTGAACCCAGGGCTTTGGTTGTTCAACCAGGAAACCAGCTGATTAGGTAGCTGTGGGTCTGGTTTAGGAATGTGAAGACTGGACACGTCTTGCTGTTAGGAAGCCAGGAAGCAGGAAGCCAGGAGAGCTGGCAGATAAGCACAAGCCAGAGTCCATGATGGCTATTTGGAGTCATTCACCAGAGAGTCCAGATGCAAAGTCCAATGAGGTTAGGAGGGATAAGGATTACACTTAAAAAAATGAAAAGCTGGATTGGATCTGGAGAAGGTTAAGATCCAAGGAAGGAAGTTTCTAGATAAGCCGAGGTAGAGATATATGACCTGAATTTATGAAAAAGAAGGTATATGGTGTGTGAGAGTGCCAGGTGTTAAAGACAGAGGGTGGAGATGGGGTTCAGGGAGTGCATTCAGCACTGGAAGACAGCCAGATAAAATCTGGAATTCCCTGGCCACACCAGCCTGGGGGTAAACATTCAGGTGGGGTAGGAGAATCACACTGTAACAGGAAGTAAAACTGACTTTGGTTCTTAGCCTCTACCTAGGGGGCGATAATAATGTTTGTATGTATTGAACACTTACTGTGGGTCAGGAGCTGTGAATATTCAATCCTCTTAAATATCTATAGCAAGCCTAGGACCTATTTTTTCCATCTTATAGATGATGAATGTAGATGCCAGGAATATGAAGTAACTAACTAGTTGGTCAAAGAGAAGACAGGAGGGCTGGACCAGTGATTTCTGACTCCTTGGCTTTCTCTCGTTACATGTTTTCTGGGCTCCTGAACTTCCTCTTCCATAGGCTTTCTTCTTCCCTGGTGGGATCCTGCAAGGCTCTTATGGTCTGACTGGTAGCCAGAAAATTTTGCTGGCTATTTCTCCCCTCTTATGGTTTCATGGCAAAGGGCTGGTTTGCCTTCTTTCCCTCCACCACCTTTGGCCACCTGCTTCTGAGGAGAGCTTCCCTGACCAGTGTTGGGGTTTCAAGGGAGGTGGGGACAAGATTTTTTAGTTTAGGC